CCACAGGCAGAGCTCACAGCTCCAGGGGAGAGCCCACCAGAGGGTAAGCTCTGGGGAGCAGCTACACCTCATGGTCAGGTCAGTGTAAAACAGAGTGTCCTGACCATTCCTGAGAGGCTATGACAAAGGGACTCTTTGTCCAGCCACACCACATGCAAGGGACCTGTTTCCTTTTGTTTCTTATCACTCACCTAGGCAGGAAGAACAGGACAGGAACCAAACAGGACACCAGAGAGACACAGGGAGAAGCAGCATGTGGACTATTAAGAGAAGTGTCACCTCTCCATGAACCCTACTTAGTCAGAGTGACTTCACCCCACAGTGCAGCCCGAGGGATGTCAGGAACATGTCATGGACTGGGGGAGCCTTCCTGGATCTCCTTCTGCCCCCCAGCACACACTGCAGACACCGAGCAGGAGACCACAGCTGGGCAAAGGGGTAAGTGACAAGTCATCTGGCTCACACACATGTTAGTGAGATGAGTAGGGACATGTTGCAACCATGCAGATGCTTCAGCATTGGACTAGGAGACATTTCCAGCACTGATATGAAGCTGGTCAGAGAAAGTCAGATATATCTGCTCCTGTACAGGGAGAGCCACACAAACACAGTCCTCAGGGGACAGCACTTAACCCACACCACCCTCTGCACTTTGGCTTTGAATCCTTTGTTGTCATCAGGATCCAAATGCAGCAGCTCAAGAAGGAAAACTAGCAGCTGGGAGCTACATTATTCCATGCCAAATTTCCGTCTTCACTTGGGCTATTGATGTTTTCCAAAGATTTTTTTTATCTGCACTTGGGTACATGAAGACTCAGGGGACAGCACTTAACCCACACCACCCTCTGCACTTTGGCTTTGAATCCTTTGTTGTCATCAGGATCCAAATGCAGCAGCTCAAGAAGGAAAACTAGCAGCTGGGAGCTACATTATTCCATGCCAAATTTCCGTCTTCACTTGGGCTATTGATGTTTTCCAAAGATTTTTTTTATCTGCACTTGGGTACATGAAGATGCTGTGGACATCTTCACTTGGGCTATTCATGTTTTCCAAAGATTTATTTTATCTGCACTTGGGTACATGAAGATTCACTGCTGTGGATCAGACAACTGGCCCTTCAGACACATCCCCTAACACATGCTGCACTGGCTCAAGGTACAAAGCCTTCTGGGGTGACCTGTGAATGATAACAGGGTCTGTCTTCCTGTGCATTAGATTAAAATCCAATAAATATAGTATTTTAAAGCAGCCAGGGGTATTGTTTACACAAAAAGGTCTAAGACATACATTACTACTCATCAGAATGAAGATCTTTGTGGCACACTGTGAGCCTGAGATCACAGCAGACACTGAGCACCAATGTTAATTGCCAACATCACTGTTACATCCTTTGGGCTTTTGACCCGAGCACCAACGTTAATTGCCAACACCACTGTTACATCCTTTGGGCTTTTGACATTTTGGAGTAATATCCACGTTTCTGTTAAATGTTCTCTCCACAGAGTTTCTCCAGAGCCTGGGGGCAGAGGGTAAAGCAGTCTTTGCCATAGAAGAATGCTGCTCCCAGCTGCCTACACAGCTTGGTCTCTCCCATGAGAGACCTAAACACTCTCCTAAATACTGCTGAGAGCAGCTCCAGGGAGAATCCAGTTGCTCCAGGTTAGCCACCACATGAAATGCTCAGAGAATGGGACAAAGGCCTTTTGCTCCTTCTCACCTCTAGAAAAAGCAGCACTTTGGAAAGGAGGTGCAAGCCCAGGACTGGCTCTTAATGTGAGCATCCTGTGGTCACCATCCCTGGAGGTTCTCAGGCTGAAACTGGATGTGGCACTTAGTGCCATGATCTAGTAATGACAGTGGGGTTGGACTCGATGATCTTTGAGGTCTCTTCCAACCTGTCTGATTCTATGATCCTCTCAAGGGCTTTTTGCAGCTGTATGGTCCTCAGGTATCCATCCAAGGTATCCTTCCAGGGTATCCATCCCAGCCAGAGAGTCTCCAAGACACCACAGCCCCACTCCACACCCTGCAGCAGGTCACTACACTCTGCAGAGAAGCCTTTTCACTCCCCAGACTCCTTGCAGCACCTCTCACATTCCCCTCCTCAGCTCCTCCTGCAGCAGGCACATGGTTCAGCTTGTCTCTGGGCATCCCTCACTCCCAAGGCAGCATCCCTGCATGCCACAGCACACAAACCAGCCCCATTGTGTGCCCTGCCATGCAAACCAGCCTTCCTGGGCACCAGCACCAAGTACTGACGGGGCTGGGCAATAACAACTAAGCCCAAAACACCCAAGGCCATGCAGGGCTGCACAACAAGCACCCAAAAGTGAGGTAGGGCTGGGATCTTCCTCACTCCCTGGAGAAGAGAGCTGAACACTAGCTGCCAGCAATCCTTACAGCTGGTCAGGTTCTGCTTGCATGGCACAGCCAAAATCTCACCACTGCTGTCCTACCTCCTCTTTGGACAAGATGAACACAGATGAGCTCCTGCTGTGCAGCCCTGCCTGGACCTTCAGTGTGCACAGGAGGTGCAGGGACACACTGGCCACCAACACAAGGGTGACAGGACTCCATCCTCTCTCTAGATTACACAGCATCACCAAGGGACACAACTCCTGTTCCTGCACTCACAGGCCACATGAACAAGCCATTCTCTAACCAAGGCTTGCCTCTGTCTAACAGACTCTGAGAAATCTCTTTTTAAAGGTACACTGTCTATTTGTTAAGAGTGTCTTTAGTTTGGATTTTTATTTCTCTTCATAACTGATTAAAAAAACCCACAACTCTAAAACTGCTAAAAAATATATGTCTTCCTGGAAATTTCCCATGAAGAAAACTTCATGTTTTTCTCCCATTTGGTTGTGAACAGTGCTGGAGTGATTATGGCAGTTTTCAACCAATAACACAAATGCTGTTATCCTTCTTAGCAGGCTCTCAAAACACCCAAGCCTTGGCACATTTGAAAAGCCAAATCAATTCTGATTCCCACCACGGGTAAGTGATGTGCCCTGGGAAGCCTGCAGGGCCCTTGTGTCAGACCCAGACAAGGAATCACTCCTCATCCCCTTTTCTTTCCTTTCTAGTCTTGGAAAAAAGCTTAAAAAATAGACTTCTGATCACTAGAGATGTTAATTTTCCCTAGGTCTCAGATTTTGAGGTGCATTTGTAGATGCAGCAACAGCACATATAAGTATTTGGCAAACCTCAAACAAATTCTTGCCCATGGCAAGAGGGGTTGGAGCTAGGTCTCTTCTAACCCAAACCATCCTGTGATGAGATGAAATTCCAAGTATTTGGGAGAATACTGGGGACATTTCAGCTTTAATTTTTATATTCTTATTGTATAATTAATATGATTAATAATTGTATATTATAACACATATTTATAGATTATAAACACGTTTTTCTGCCTGAGACACTGATCATGTATGTTAGTATATTGGGAAGGTTAAAAGAAACTTGACAGTGTTCCTTTAAGAAGATGGAGATGAACTACCCTGAGCTCTGCAGCATCATTGACCTCCACAGCTCCAACCCAGCCACTGCCAGTGTCCCCATGGACAGCACACAGACAGGGACGACAGGTCAGTGCCATCAGGGCTCAGTAATGACACCCAAAGGGCCCATGCAACACCAGGCAGGGTTACAGCTATGGGAGGGAAGGGCCCTACCTCTGGATAAGAGCTGCAGAATCACTCTCTCGTTTCCGTCTCTTCCTCTCTGCGTAGCCCCTGAATGCCCTGGGAAACCATTTCAAGCCATTAACCAACTCCACAGCTTTGGACTGGAGAGGACACAACACAGACAGGAAAGCTCTCACCAGACAACAGAGAGGTTGGGCTGACCAGGAGCACAGCAGAACTGCGTGGGAGTCAGGGACCAGGCAGAAGACTCACCAGACCAAAGCTCCTCACTCCCTAGGGCACGTGGTGGACAAACAGCTGCTCCTAGAGCAAACAGTGCATGGCCCAAAGAAGAGGGCCAAGCAGCAATCATCCCTGCTATGGAGAGTGGAGCTGGGAGCTGCAGGCACACACTCTCTGCACACCAGGATCAAGAGGGATAAAAGCACGTCAGGAACAGGAGTCTGCACTTGGAAGATGAGGATTGTTGTGGTGTGATCCATATAGGCCTACCAGGTGTGGTCATTTAACCTCCTGCCAGCTGACACACAGCCCCTAGCACAGGGAAAGCATGAGTGAATGTGATGGGCAGGTGAGGAGAGGAGAGTTTATCCAGGACACCAACAGACAAGGAAATAAAGCAATTAAGATCATACTTACGAAATGCTAGAGAGTCCAGGAGGTGCAGGGAAAAGGAAAGAGAAGAGGAATTCATTAGTGCTCAGCCCCAGCCGGTGTTCTGAGGGAATTCTCACTCCAGAAGGAATATCCCTTGTTAGGTGGAAGGAAATTGCTTTTTAAATTAGACATTTCTCAGTGGTGAGATTCCTACTTGACAGAGCTTAATCCTTCCCGGGGCAGTGCAGACATGTGGCTTGGATGCAAATTAAACTCCAGGTAGACCCAGAGAAGAGGCAGATGTACAACAGCTGAACATGGCCTGTCAGGCTATGCCACCACAGGCTCCTGGAGCTGGGAGAGAACTGGAGCAGAGACCAGGGGCACCTGGGGAGCCACCCCAGCCAGCTTGGGGAGGGGCCCTGAGCTTCATCTCCTGAACCTCTGGAGATGTTCCTGTGCAGTTTCTAGAGGTAGCACAGAATCTTCAGAAATGTGAACGAAGGAGCTACATTAACCAAGGGAGTTGTGCTCCTCAAGGTTTCCTTAGGGCACCATTCTCCAAACCAACCTCACTTTGGTCTTCAAACCCTTTAAGACCGGCCCATGGGCATCATCCTGCCATAAGTCTTCTGCCCAGCAAATATGAATTCAGAGAGCAAAGGTTGGGCCCAAAGGCAATGTGCTGATTTTGTGCATGGCTTGTAGGTCAGATGGGAACTGTAAAATAGCATTTACTGTTATCAGCCAGCACTTTCAAAGTGTTTTTTTCTAGGGGATGCAGGTACTTTGCTCCTAAACACCAGATCCAGCCCTCCCTACATCAGTCCTGGCAAGTCTGATCCAGTCTGGGTTATCCCAAGATCAACAATCAGCCTCTTTTCAGGATTTGAGAAGGGAAGAGTACGAGGGCAAGAAGAATTGGCAAAGAAACAGATTACAAAGAGGACGTCAGATTACACAAGAAGAAAACAGTGAGCAGGAGAGCTCAGGGTGCCACAGACATTGGAAAAAGCACACACGAAAAAGATGACAAGGCTGGAGAAGGTTCTTAGGAGGCAGAACAGTGTCTCATTTTCCTCACTGCTTGCCTTGGCTTTCCAGTCAGGTAGGAAATATTTGAAAGCAGCACTTCCTGACAAGCTGAGCACAACCTGGAAATGAGGATTTCCTTCTTCTCTTCAGCCCTTGGAGAACTGCCTCCTCCCAACACCATGGGCACCAAACTCTGCGTGGAGTGTGGAGGGAAAGGCTCTTCCTAACATATCTGTTGATAATTTGCAGGGATTTTACTGACACCTTCAAATGGCCAGGCCAATGCAGAGCTGTAGAGCTACATCTCATCCCATAGAAAGACATATCTGGGGTGGCAGATGCAGGGAATAACCTCTCCCTGGGGCAGTGGGTAAAGCAAAAGCAAGTGGTGGAAGGTCTCAGCTGGTAGGACTATAGGATCTTCACTCTGCAGAGGCAGCCAGGGACAGGGCACAGTAGCACAGACAAAATGAGGGAAGCAAAGAAGAGCTTTAACAAGGAGTTAAAGAAGGTAAAACAAACAACTGAGAGCAGTGGGAAAGAACTAATAAGGGGAAAAAAACAATTAATAGGAGACAAGGTTCTCTTTCTGTCTCTCTCTCTCCCCCCCTGGACTGTGCTGCCAAACACAACTCAAGTGCTCCTCAGGCCCTCAGGTACAGCCTGCAGCTGGCAGTGGGCTCTGAGGTACACCCCAAAGCTCAGGCAGAGGTTTCACTTACGCTTGCATAGTTGTGGTAGCAGTGTGAAAACTGAAGAGGTTCTCTTTTGGGAACCAGGTCCGTATGGGGACATCATCTGGAAGAGAGAGAGAGAGCAAAACCTGAGCATCAAAGGGCACAGACATTCTTCAGACAGCAAGAGTTGCCAAGCTCTTCCTCTTAGGACTTTTCTAGAGCATCCTGCCCTGTACTAAGTCTCACCCTCCCCATATATATGCACACTGCCACTGAGTGTTCTGTGCAGTTGTGCTAAGCCTGTCTATCAGGCTACTAACTGGAGAATAAAAGCTCAACCCTAAACATGGGAGATCAGAATAATCCAGGAATTACAGAAGTGACATTTGAACTAGGAAAAAAATACCAACAAAGCAGGAGAAAAAAATCATTTTTCATTAAAAGCATTTTCCAGCCTCTGCCTTTTCCTTTATACCTTTGATTTGAAATATCCCATTCCTCCAGTTCTTTCTGATACAGCCCTTGGTAGAAGCTGAAAAGCATTCACTGTCCTCAGAACTGTGAGCCTGAGATATACTCTCTTTTGCCACCACTGAAGTTTCAATAACCCCTCACACACCTGCCCCTGGTGACCTGGCCTGCAGGATTTTGGGTGGTTTGGATGTCAAACCACCCATCAGCTAGAAATCTGCAGGGAACTCCAGTCTGATTTGGTCACCTCTGTTTGTAAACTGCCCTGCCCACACCAACTGTGGATTATTCCCTACTTCCATGGCATTAGGATACCACACCATCTTCTCAGAATGAGCACCAAGACACAAGACAGGCAGCAAAGTAAGCCACTAATTCTGTGTGGTGAGTGGTGGTGATCAGGAGGAACCTGCCCAAGCAGCAGCTCTTGCTGAGAACTCAGGCTGGAGTCAGACAGACAGGGAACATTAGGGGTATGTTAATCCACTGACACAAGACTTGAGAGATTCCTGTGGGCTGGATTCCTGGGATTTGGGATACCTGATTTTTCATCTTGCTTCACTCCCAATTTGTGGCTTCCTTATTAATGCCTTGCCACACGTTGCTGATTGAGTGTCTTGCTTCACTTGCTCAAGGTTTCAGATGATTAGCAACTGTGGCATCTTAGCCACTAATATTCTGGCATTGCCAAGGGATTTTTAAATTCACTTTCCTTGGCCCAAACCCAAACCCAGCTCCTATCCCCACTGCAGACATAACGACTACAGACCAGATATCCTATATGGATCATTGTATCCCACAGACTGGTCCTGCAATTCCCTAAAGGTACAAAAAGCAGCTAGAATTCTAGATAAAAAAAAAAAAGCTAACTGCAGCTGGAGATACTTCCTTTGAAGTGCAGCTTCCAAAAATCATACAGGAAGCTGTACCAGACACTCCTTCTCAGCTAACAGTCTACATCAGGTCTTCTTTCAGGCACCCTAAGGAAATCTAGATGTTAAGAGAAAGCTGCATCCTAGTGTGCTAAAGAGTTCTAATGCTATCCCTGTGCCTGCTCTCCTCCAAACCACAGATGGAGAAGCAATGCAGAACAACTCAAGACTGTAAGTGAATTACACGTTTGAAGTCTCAAACCCACAGAAGTGGTGAAGGAGGAGAAGTTGTACAAATTCCTTTTTAGCCAACAATTCTGTACAGACTTCTCAGGGGCTAAACATCTCAAAGGACTGGCAGTCTCTTAATGTATTTTACAGCTTTTAAGCCACTAGCTTTGATTCAAAGCAGAGCTTATGAACAACAGCTAATATCCTTAGGAGTCTTTGCCTGGACCATTGCTGGGAGCCTCCCCTCCTTTTCTCATTGACAGGAGCCAGCACAAGAAAGATATTACTGTCCTACAGCACTAAGAGGAGAATAAAGGATTTGGGACCCTTCAGAGGCATCTCTTTAGCAGTCAGAGGTAGAACAGCAGCAGAGGAGCACACAGCTGGGGACTAGGCAGCAGAGCTCAGCTCCAGAGCTCATGCACTGAGTGGAAATTCAGCTGATGGGTATGGCTGCTGCTGCCAGGAGCAGGCAGCACACTCCTTTTTGGCCTGGCAGAGCATCTTGTTCTCCTTTCTTCATCAACCATGATGAAATAGTGCAGGAGGCATGGGCCTGGGCAAGCCTGGAGGAACACCATCACCTCGTTCAGTATCTCCACCCCTTGCACTGCCCCCAAATCCCAGCACCACTGTCCGTGAGTGGATGTGTCTGTATGAGATGCTGGGAGCAGCCCAGGAGCTGACAGCTTGTGCTGCTCTGGAATGGTGTGAGGCACCAGAAACTCAGCACAAAAATCCATATTCAGTGATGCCAATGGGCCTGGCTGCCACGAGTGTTGGTTTGCAGCAACAACATGTCATGTAAATCCAGACAGAGAAAGCAGCACTGTAAGGTGAACCTCTGGGGGAATCAGCTTCTCTCTCCTCTGTTCCTCCCTGCTCCATTTTCCTTGCTAGCCAGGCATGAAGGGCATGCCAGAGAATTCTTCCTGCAGCCTGTCACACTTGTGCTATTCAATTCTCAGGTTCTCTCTGAGTGACAGCTCTTGGATAGCGAATGCAAATGAGACCAAGCTGAGGAAACTTCCCTTCCATGGGATTTGGGCTTGGAGACACAGCACTGCCTCTGCAGCCACACATGGCAGAACAAAGCAGCCTGAGACAGGCAGGCAGGGGAGCTCTGCCTGCTGGTAGGAAACACTCTGGAGTTCATGTTCAGCCCTGGCTACGTTGTTCCCATTTAGATACCTACTCTGCCTTATTTTTGGAAACACAAATCTCCATTTCGCATGGAGACCCCACCTGGAGTGCTGGACACAGCTCTGGTGTCCCCAACATCAGAAGGACATGGAACTGTGGGAGCAAGGCCAGAGGAGGCCACAAAGCTGATCAAAGACTGGAGCACCTTCCCTACAAGGACAGGCTGAGAGAGTTGGGGCTGTTCAGCCTGGAGAAGAGAAGGTTGTGTAGAGCAACCTGCCAGGAGCTGAAGGGGCTCCAGGGAAGCTGGACATACTATGATACTATGATATTGATAACTGCCCCCAACAAAAATTGCTATCCAGTTGAAAGCAGGTATTAAATTCCAAGGTCCAGAAACAACATGGCACCTCCCTATGGATTTTCCTAGTACGTGTTTTCCAACAAACACAGCAGTTTAGCTCCAGCTATGAGGAGTTAAACTCCTCCATCAGTGATGTAGGGCTTTCATTTGCTTCTGCATCATGTAACCTGCTTCATTTCCATACTGCAAAGTGCAGTTTTGATTCATTGCTGGTTTGGGCTGGGATCCAGTTAATTTTCTTCATGGGAGTTAGTATGGGGCTGTGCTTTGGATTTGGACTGAAATCCAGCCAAGCTGGATGGGGCTTGGAGCAACCTGGGTTAGTGGAAGGTGTCCCTGCCCATGGCAGGGGGTGGGACTGGATGGGCTTTAAGGTCCCTCCAACCCAAACCATTCTGGGACTGTATGAAAACACTGTTGATAACATGTTTGGTCATCATTGAGTAGGGCTTACATGGAATCAAGGCCTTTTCTGCTCCTCACCCCACCATCAAGCAGACTGGGGGTACACAGGAGTTGGGGGCACAGCCAGGACAGCTGACCCAAGGGATATCCCACACCATATGGCATCATGCTCAGCATATAAAGCTGGGGAAGAAGTTTGTCCCCAGTCACTGTTAGGTGTGATGGAGTGATAGTGTTTGTCTTCCCCAGTCACTGTTAGGTGTGATGGAGCTCAGCTGTCCTGGCATGGTTGAACACCTCCAGCCCACAGGGAGTGGGCAATGAAGTGATTATTTTGCTTCACTTGGGGACATTCTCCTAACCTGTCTTTATCTCAGCCCACAAGTTTTTTCACTTTCACCCTTCCAACCCTCTCCCCACCCCACAGGGGAGTGACCAAGCTCTTTGTGGGGCTGAGGCCAGAGTTAAACCACAACATCAGGAAAGCTTTCAACATGAACCACCAGCACCAGGACAAGAAATCTTCCCTTTCTTCATGCAGTACACATCATGAGCCTGCCACCGAGTCAGCTCAGCACTCTGATCTGCAGGACACCAAGCCCCTGGGGCTGTGATCTCCTTTTTTTCTCTACCCTCACACAAGCTTTCTGAGATGGCTCTGCCATCACATGCAGAGTTATCTTTTAACAGGGAAAACACATGATCACAGAACCATAAAAGGTTTCCATACAGAGAAACTCTTATCCTACCTTTTCTTGCACTTAAGCAGTGAAAATAATAAAGTCTCAACTTTCTCATGCAGATGTGGAACCCAAAAAAACCCCATGGAACAAAGAACAATGCTTAAAAGCCACACACAGGAGTTGTGGGACTGTAGTTGTTCCACATTTGATAATAACCTATTTTTTCATTACTATTCTTCAGTTTGAGGCCACCATATATTAATTTAGTCACATATTTTCAAGCATCTAAGCATGAAAATATGGTCCAAAACTCAATTTTTTGGTGACTTTCCCTGTAGTAAACATCACTATGACATTTGCTAGAAAACTAGGAACCCAAGAGAGCCGTACAGTTTGATGTCCACAGTCCTTACACACAATTTCTTTACAAGAAAACCTTGACCTTTCCTGGCTGGACTCTTTGCTCTGAAAGCCTTGATGTGTGCATACAGAAAAAAAAAAAAAAAATCAGACAAATTAGGTCAGATTCTTTGCCAGCCACACAAAGAGCTGACAGGCAAAGATGGACTGCACACCAGTTTATAATTCAAAGCACACAGACTGTGACATGTATTTGATTAATGGTTCAGTTTTTAAAGACACTTTTTTTAATGTAATTGAATAATTACAAGCCTTATGCCCTGAGAACACTGAGCAAATGGAGAGTGAGTGGGGAAGGAAGTCCAATTTGTGTTATTTGCTGGTATTTATGGGAAGCCCATGAGGTGGCACTACTTGAGGGACACTGTTAGATTGCTTTAGATGAGCATTTTGGGGATGTACCAAAGTACAGGACACTGTCCCTGAGCTGAGGCTCCTGCTGAGCACTCTGGTACGTGCACAAAGATTTCACCCTTCCAGCACGAGGCAGAGAGAATCCTGCTCTGAACTGTCTCTGGGATGAGATGGATGGTAAGGTCCCAGGGGAGACCTTATCACCCTCTGCAACTCCCTGACAGGAGGTTGGAGTCAGGTGGGGGTTGGTCTCTTCTCCCAGGCAACCAGCAGCAGGACAAGAGGGCACAGACTCAAGCTCTGCCAGGGGAGGGTTAGGTTGGATATTAGGAAGAGATTTTTTACAGAGGGAGTGCTCAGGCATTGGAATGTGCGGCCCAGGGAGGTGGTGGATTCACCATCCCTGGAGGTTTTCAAGCTGAGACTGGATGTGGCACTTAGTGCCATGGTCTAGTGACCAGGGTAGGGCTGGACTCGATGATCTTGGAGGTGTTTTCCAACCAGGTTGATTCTATGACTCTATGATTCTATGTAGGTGCTTTGACACAGGAAGGAAGAGCCTCTCTTGCTATTCCTTCCACAGGTAGGAGCCCACAGAGCTCACCCCCATGAGCTGCATGAAGATGCCATGAAAACTCCCCAGGGCAGCTGCTGCTTACCAGCTGGAAGCAGAGACAACAGAGCTTGGACAATGAGCTCCCTCCAGCTGAACTCAGCTCACATCTAACTCCTCCTTTGACAATCCCTTTCCAGGGATGCTGGTGCAAAGTGCCACCAAGGTGGTGAAGGGGACATGCCACAGGGCCAAACTCAAGGCACATGGCAACAAAACCTCTGAGCTGGGATAAGATGAGAGTCACCCTTCACCCTCCATGTCCTCCCACCCTTACTTACCAGACACTCGGTCGACACTGTACATCCTCTCCAGCCTTTTCCTGTGCCACCCAGCCTCGTTGGGTGGATGCTGCTCCAGCTCAATGGACTGCTGGGAAGGGGCAGCCAGCCTGGTGCAGGTGGGGCAGTCCTTGGAGCCCTGCCTGCTGCCTGGCCAGCCCTTGCACTGCCTGCCCACTCCGTGAGGGCCACCAGCACCGTGGCCCTGGTGGCCGTGGTGGCATTCGTCCTGGCCACCTCCCTTCATCACCACCAGTTCCATGCTGTCATTCTCGTGGTCTGACAGCATTGGTCTCTCTCCAGAGATGGTGTAGACTCGTGGCTTTGGTCCCTCACTCGGGATCTTCTCTGTCTGCTCCTCGCAGAAGCTCCTCTCAAACTTGCCGTCGGAGATGACGGAGAGTCTGCGCTTGTTCTGTGCCGCCTGCTGCATCTCAGGGGAGTCCTCCTGCCCGATGTAGGAGTCTGCTAACAGGTGATCTGAAACAAAAGGCACATCTTCCTTAAAACCAAAGCATTCCAGACACCAACAAATTCAGGAGGCTCTTTCCTACTGCTGCAGAATGCGGAGCAGGGAGAGAGATACAGTAGGTTCCCTCAGGAACTGTTTCAGATAACCATGTTTCCATTGCTGCTTTCTAAACTTTCAGACCTGGCACTGAAATGAGAGATATTGCTCAAATAAGAAGGACATGGAACTGTTGGAGCAAGGCCAGAGGAGGCCACAAAGCTGATTAGAGACTGGAGCACCTTCTCTACGAGGACAGGCAGAGAGAGTTGGGGCTGTTCAACCTGGAGAAGAGAAGGTTGTGTGGAGACCTCAGAGCAACCTGCCAGGAGCTGAAGGGGCTCCAGGGAAGCTGCAGAGGGACTCTGGGTTAGGAACTGCAGGGACAGGACAAGGAGCAATGGGGAGAAATTGAGGGAAATTTAGATTAGATCTTAGGCAGAAGTTTTTGCTGTGAGGGTGGTGAGACACTGGCAGAGGTTGCCCAGGGAGGCTGTGGCTGCCCCAACCCTGGCAGTGTTCACAGCCAGGTTGGCTAAAGCCTTGAGCAACCTGCTCTGGTGGGAGGTGTCCCTGCCCAGGGCAGGGGTTGGGGCTGGATGATCTCTAAGCTCCATTCCAATTCCTTAGCATTCTATGATACTATGAAATAGGCTCATAGACAAACAGGCCAAATATTATAAGCATGTGTGGCCATCAAACAAGGCTCAAAGTGAATGCAGGTCTCATTGCACATGCTGATCAAAGTCTTCAGCACCAACTTCTCTAAGTGCCAAACTTTGCTTGTGCATCAAGTTGTTTTAGAGCACAGAGAAAGGGCCAAACCGACAGGGGTTGGGTTTTTTTTTTCTGCCAGTTGGTTTGCCATGAAAGAAATGCAGAAAGACTTCAGCTGACAGCTGCAGCACCTCTGCTCTGCCAGCCTCATCGTGTGTGCAGATGGTGACAGCACTGCCCGTGGAAGCTGTCCTGAAGGAAAACACAACCACTCCCTTTGTAGGGTAGGAAGATCGACAGGAGAGAAGCCCATGAGTACAACTAACTTCGGAGCCCACACACTGGATGAAGTGCCAGGAAATCTCAGCATTTCCATGGCAATTCCATGCATGAACCCAACAGTAGCTCCCACCCACCTGCTAATCCTTTTTCAAGTGGCTGTTAATTACCTCTTACACTTCCCTTCAGATGGGAAGCAGCTAGGGGACTGGCAAAAAGACTCAGCAGGGAATGCATTATTCATGGGACTACTACCCCAAAAACTGAAATCATTAGTGTCCAGCACAGACAGCAGCACTTAGAACAGAGGCAGAGAGCAAACCTAAGCCTTTACTTCAATAGATATTTAACGAACATCATTCCTTTAGCCACTGAGTCATGACCTGGAAGAACTCAGCCACAGTCTTAGGCTTGACTACCTTGTAACTGGCCATGAAGAGAAGAAGGAGGAAAAGACCTGTCTCAGGACAAGATTGGTGGTGAACAAGTGTAACATGGACCTTTCACTGCTGTCACACCGTGCTTCCTATGAACTGCTCTTGTGCCCCTCTGAAAGGAGCCCTCCCGAGCTGAGCAGGTACACTGCCAGCTTTGGAACCTGAACCCCTCCTGGATGGTGCTCATGTTGCCCAAGACCTCTCCTCCTGCTCTGTTTGCAACAAGACTGACAAGAATTGAGCTGATACCAGTACAGGGTGTCATCCTTACCTCATTTTCCTGCTTGAGACACAACTGCCTCCGGCACCACTAGGAGATAAATAGGTCTCTGGCCACTCTGCTCAAGAAGTGACTGTCAGGACCACTCAAGCTGACACAGCTCAGGTTTCATTTCATTTGCCTCCTAGTGGAACCTCTCAGTCTCTGGATACTGGAGCTGGCCAGGAGGAGACACTGGGGGAGTCCTAAACAAAGAGCTGTACCTCTTAAACTTGTGGCTGATGTTCTTTCCAGGTTTCACATGAAGTCAAAAATGCCTGCCTAGCCTCTTAAACTTGTGGCTGATGCTCTTTCCAGGCTTCACATGAAGTCAAAAATGCCTGCCTAGGTGTAGTGAGGAGTCCTGCACCTCACTGATACTGTCCAGGGAAAACACAAAAGGCAGGCAGTGGTCTACATCCCCCATGGTCTCCTGCACAGAGACAGCATGGACAACTGCATCTGCTCCAGAGGGAGAGCCTGATGGACAACAGGGACCATCACCAACACAACTGCAAGCCATTCCAGTGGAAGAAGCTGCTCCACCAACTGCCATCCAACAGCTTGTCCACCCAGTCCTACCAGTGCAGAAAGTGTTCACAGGCTCCAAAGTCTCTCCAACCACGCCACCCCTCAAGAGGCAGCAGGCCCCCACATCTGCTCTCCAGCAGCTCAGATCCTCTCCAGTTCCAAGACTGACTGTGCTCTAGAGTAGGCACATCTTGGGAAAACACCACCAACTGACTCTGCAAGATATGCCAAGATCTGTGCTGCCTAATAGTGCCAAGCAGACCATTTTTGAAATTAAAAACAAAGGCCAGTTCTGAGTACTCATCTCAACTTGTCAAACTTACTAATCTGCGTGGGCACAATGATGCTACGGATTTCTTAAGACAGCAGAAAATCGTGGCTGACAGCTGCCCCTGCTCCTCCTGCAGTTAATACTCGTGTGGAAGATGTGCAGCCTCACTACAGCAAACACAGTGCACAGAATCACAGAGTCACTTGGGCTGGAAGGGAGCACAGTGGGTTATCTGGTCCAAGCTCCCTGCTCAAGCAGGGTCATCCTAGAACACATGGCACAGGATTGTGTCCAGAGGGTTCTAGAATATCTCCAGTGAGGGAGAATCCACAACCTCTCTGGGCAATCTGTTCAGTGCTTGGTCACTGCACAGGAAAGTTTTTCCTCATGTTCAGGTAGAACTTCCTGTGCATCAGGTTTTGCTGTTACCTCTTGTATTCTTGGTTTCCACCACTGAGCAGAGTCTGATCCATCCTTTTGGCACTTTCCTTTCATGTACTTGTATACATTAACAAGGTCCCTCTCAGTCTCTCTTCTTTGAGACTGAACAGACCCAACTCTCTCAGCCTTTCCTCCTAACTGAGGTGCTCCAGTCCCTTCAACATTTTTGTTGCCCTGTGCTGGACCTGCTCCAGAAGCTCCATGTCCCTCTGGTCCTGAGGAGCCCAGACCTGGACACAATACTCCAGATGTGCCTCACCAGGGCTGAGCAGAGGGTCAGGATCACTTTCATGACCTTCTGGCAATGCTTTTCCTAATGCATCCCAGGATTCCATTGGCTTTCTTGGGCACAAGGACACACTGCTGGCTCATGGACAGCCTGTTGTCCAGCAGGACCCTCAGGTCCTTCTCCACAGAGCTGCTCTCCAGCAGGTCAGTGCCCAACCTGTCCTGGTGCTTGGGGTTCTTCCTCCCCAGGTGCAGGACCTGCACTTGCCCTTCTTGAATCTCAGCTGGTTCTGCTCTGCTCTTCTCTCCAACCTGTGAGGTTCCTCTGAAGGGCAGCACAGTCCTCTGAGGTATCAGCAGCTCCTCCCAGTGTATCACCAGGAACTCACTGAGGAGGCAACTTTGTCTCCTCATCCAAGTCATTGATGAGTTAAGTTGAACAAAACTGGGCCCAGTATAGAACCCTTGGGGACACCACTAGTGACAGCCTCCACCTAGACTCTGTGCCACTGATCACAAGTCTCTGGGATCTACCTCACTTTTCCTCACACACCAACAGCACCATAGTCCAGAGATCTGAGACCTCCTGAGCCCTGGCATCTGTGGGTAAATGGAAAAATGAAGTCCCCGAAGTATAACGTGGAAAATGCTGATGATCACAAGTGCAAAGAGACCAATTCCAGTCCGGTTTATATTGAGGTCTGTTCAGCCCCATTAAATTTACAGACATACAAGTGGGACATGACTGGCTTCAAGTAAGAGTCAATTTTTTACTGCAATCCTGGCAGGGTTACAATTCTTGTCCAGATATATTTGACATCAACTACCTGTTAGCATGCAAAATGCAAAGATAATTCTTTCTTCCTATTCTACTTGCCCCTTCCTCAAGGTGTTTTCACTTGTACTTACGTAGGTGTTTTCATGATTTACACTACAAAGGGCTGCCAGCACACCAATATGCTATTTTTTTTTGTCAAACAATTGGATAATTCCTCATTTTCATTCAATTTAGCACCTTCAGTAACTACACACTGGAGAAGCAGCTTCATATGCAAAGGGAATGTGAAGCTTTATTCAAGACTCGTAGTTAATAAAGAATTTATCTACAGGAAAATAAATAATGGAGAAGGAAAAGAGACTCAGACATCCATCATAATGAGTTATTGGCTTCTAAAACCAAACCAACACCATTTCAGGGAGCATGTCTGTGCTAGCATGAGGTTGCACACACCAGCAGCCCCCAGACATTACCAGTGACCCTTGTATGAACAGTGAACTGGGTTCAGGTGCCAAATCACAGCACCTGCTCCCACCACGGCATTTGAGGTGAACAGTTTGCTCCAGGCAGCAAAGAATCCAAGCTGGTCCAGAAATCAGTGCTGAATCAGCTCTGAGCCACAGGGATGTTCCATGGGGAGAACCAAGAGACACCGTCCAGGGAGTTCAGCATGGACTGGAATTGCCTCCTGGGAGTGAGTTGCAGCAGGCTGCTGTGAACACCTCTGCATGGTTCCTGCTGCTCCCTTCACTCCACATTGCTCTTGCCCCCTCTCCACCCCAAGCTGCTCCAGCAGACTGCCAGGCAGCCCAGGCTGGGGAACTGGGGCAGCCTGGCACAGTGTCCTCCTCTCCAGCCCCTCTGATGGAACTGATCTGGGAACAACTCTGCTCTCCCACTCCTTTTGTCAGCAACACCTTTGTCTCACACAGCTGCAAAACTACTCTGGAGCAGACAAATCAGGTTCCTCAAACAAATCTCTTTTCATCTAGATTTCTGCTCTACATGGATTTGTTGTGCCTGAGAAACTG